TTAAGGGTTAGGTTTAGGGTTACGTTTAGGGTTAGGTTAAGGGTTAGGTTTAGGGTTACGTTTAGGGTTAGGTTTAGGGTTAGGTTAAGGGTTAGGTTTAGGGTTAGGTTTAGGGTTAGGTTTAGGGTTAGGTTAGGGGGGGGTAGGGGAAGGTTTTAGCTTTATTTTTACATTTTTCGATCTTTTTCGATCTTTTTCGTCGCGCTGTGATGACGTCACATACGCGCTTTCGTCGACCGCGATTTTGTCATCCGCGGTTTTGTGGTAGAACCGATTTAAGCACCCCATGGGCTTGAGTTTGACATCCCTTATATAGAGTCACCAGATATAGGCCGAAAAATTCCAAATAACCATTAGACAACCACAAACTGATATTGAAAACATGGCCAATTTTTCAGCAGCTATATGATTAACCCTGTGACTATTACAGAAGGCACTAAAATTAAAATGAAACTTTTTTCACCTGATGTATTTCATTTCAAGTTTCTTCTGTACATGAGATTCAGGATACCTAACCAGCCATGCAGTTAAGACTATGCAATGTTTTGAATTCAAAAGGAAAATGGTGTTTTTATGGAGCACGGCACACTAGACTTGGATACAGCTCAACAGGGAAAACTTACCTATTTCTGGAAGATGGTTACATTTTTGGAATTGTGGCAAAACAGATATGGAGAGCTGTCGGTGGATTATGAAGTTCTGAAGAAGATCAGCAAATTCCATTCAGAAAAAAAAATGCTGAGCCAGTTTAGAGTAAAATAAGAAGTGCAATATCGTTTTGTTTTCAATAAGGTGTTCATAAATACATTGTTTCTTATTGTAGTACTATAAAATGCAGTACATACAAGTAAAATTGATCTGAATGAAGGTAGAATGAATTTAAAACAAATAGATTGCAGGGGCAAATTAGTACATCAGAACAATGGGGAAAATCAGTGAAAGTGTCAGCACAAACAAATTAATTTCAGTACAGATCCTGTACTGGAAATACAAATGATTCCTTAAATAAAGTATATAATTTTAACTTTCCATGTTTCTCATTATTTGAGACCATAGCTGCAAAAACATACATTTCCATTTTTGAACAAGATAGAAAATGTCATTTTTGCTGGCTAATATATGAGTTATTAACATAAATATGAGCACATATTTTAATATATTAGAATAGCTATCTTCAAATTTCATCAGTCCATTGAAAAAGTGCCTTTCTAGTTATAATAACTGAGCAATATCTAAGAAGTTTGCATGTGTATATTCCATTTAAACTGCTACCAATTTATTTACAGAACTACGGAGATGGACCTTCTTATGAACATATGACAAACAGGGACCTTGGATCACATGACAATCTATCTCCTCCTTTTGTGAATTCCAGAATACAAAGTAAGAAGAAATTAATGTTTCTATTACCCTTGCATGTTTGTAATTGCTTGTGCTTTTTTAGTTTGAACTGAAATAATATTCCTTTCACTACCATCACATTCTAAAACATCTCCAAGAATGCTAATTATGCCATAAAATAAACCAAAGTCCATGCTAAAGTTTGCAAATATTTTGCTTAGAATAAGTATCTGCAAATATGCGGCTTGTAGCTCGATTTCCTTCATACCTGTTTTTAAACAGCCTTAAATCCTCTTGAATTCATCCATCAGATAAAACTAGCGATTCTCTGGAGAAGATTTGAAGGGGGAGGGGGGGGTCTGGAATGTTTAATGGGGAAAGGGGAGGAAAAAATGTATGTTTTATGAAGTGAAGACCACTCCTGCAATGTTTCGGCACAGTCCTTGGATATATCACCTTGCTTTTTCTAATTTATGTCCATTTGTTTTTCATACGTAAGATTTCATGGTTTGAAATGTGACTTATATTTATGGGAAAGGGAGACGCTGTGTTATTGTGGCACTTCTGTTTCCATGTGAGTTTATTGCATTGACAAAGGCACACCTTGTCAGTAAAATGTTAGTCTTTGTGTTATTTTTATGCTAGCATATTATAGATGTAAACATGATAAAATGGAAAATGTACGAAAAAGCTCAGTGAGTCCAAACGAATGTTCCAGTGGATGTGTAGGGTTTGCTATCAGCAATCAGAAACTGTTGTTTTCTTTGCGTAACAGTGTGAATTTGCCTATAGGGACTTTTAGTCTCTGGGCGGCAAGCTTCTACATTAAGTCTGACCTTGTCTACAGTATGTTCTACTTCTGACAGCCTGTGGTGCTTGGCAAGTGTGTGCCCTCACAGTTGGATAATGCTTGGTCACTATCATTCTCTTTTACAAGAGAAGTAGTAATAATCCTGGCTGTTAAAAGAAAGTCTTTAATTATTTGCAAGTGCAGATAGCAGCTTTTAATCATGCCTGATAAATGAGTTAGGTTAAGATAAATATATGATGTAAAAAATATTACTAATCCTTTTCTCTGGCCAAGATCACACCCTTTTCCTTGCACTTGTCAGTGAACTAGCTGAGATGCCTCGGTTTCAAACAACTGAATCTGAGCCAAAGAAAGCAATGAGTTGTAACTGTGATATATCATTCTAGGACTCATATATTGCCCCTGAAATATTCCTTGTCTTTTATTATTAGGAAATATTTGTGAGTTGTTTAACACGAGAGACAGTGTTGAAGCTTGCAGTAATGTGTGTGCAGTCACACACAAGTAATGTAGCTACAGCCATTTCAAAGAGCTGGTTTGAGCCAAGAAAAGCAAAGAAATTCTGAACCGCCCTTCTTAACTCACACTATTAGATTTGACTTCAGGCAGTGTAAATATAATATTTTCATGTAACCATGGTCTTCTGTGAAGCCCACTGTGCTGAGTGATGTTTACAGGATTGACCTTTTCAATGTACCTTTAGCAACTTTTAAGGTTTATCACATTCTGTTTTGGCTTATTTTAACAGAGAACACTGTAGCCTGAAAATCATTTTTTTGGCCGAGAAAATTATGCTTTCTTTTGTATAACAAGGTACTTACTTTTAAGCATGGAGGAGAATTTCATAGCATTATGAAACATGAAGTCACTGCATCCTAATTAGAATGGTTGGGGCATGTAACAGTAGACAGGCTTTATATAACACATATTCCAAATTTAGTTGTAAATTTGTAAATTTTAGTTGTAAAATGCTGTATTTTTGTAGTTGGTGGTGAAAGCAGTTGTTACTTGTTGGTTCGGTCAGAACACCTTTGATTTCAAATGACTAGTGTGTTTTATATCCCTGTATTCTAGCCGGTATATCTCTAGATTTTGTATCCCTATATTTTGTTTTATTTCAGTCTTTTGGAAATGTTGAGTCTTTGTAAGTTCATCAAATGTGTTACTGCAATAAAGCCCCATCTGCATTAAAACCAATGATCTTCCTTATGCAGTCTACACATTGTATTACTAGAATTTAAGATTTTCTTTGTTAATTACAGCTGACTTTCTCTACTGTTTGCTTATGTTAAAAGAGTTGATCCTTTTGCTGAATCGCCATTCATTGGCATCTGCAAGACTCCCTTGAGCCCACAGAAAGTCTGAAAAAGTTAAAAAGCTGGTGCATGATAATAAATAATTCATATTATTTATTAAATTTATATGCCTCTCATCTCACTATTCAAAGTGATTTTGGGAGGTCTTAAAATGCCACAAAAGCATAAATATAAAAGCACTAACAGCAATTAAATAAAGATGAAAAACTAACAAACAGTACCTGGATGGGCTTTAGTTTATCACTTCACTAACCACCTCCATCTAGCATCTTTTCTTCGGGACCCCAAGGCAACTTATAGTGCCACGTTTTAAGGACCTTCCAGAAGGCCAGAATGGTGGAGGGGGATCTCACCTCTAGAAACAAGATGTCCCAGAGGGTGGGGACCATGGTAGTGAAGGCTTTTCTTTTAGACCCTGCTAGCTGAAATTCCTTGGCCAATGGAGAACTTAGAAGGCCTCTTTTGCTGGTGTGAGTGGGGCAGGCCAATCCGATTGAGGCAGGAATGTTCACCAGGTAACCTGATCCTGGCATGATGGACTTTAATGATGATAACCAGCAGACCTGTAAGTAAACCGGCAATCGATGCAGTCTGTGTGACAGCGGTGTTACATGTATCACCTGAGGAGCCTCCAGAACTGTTCACATTACTGCATTGTCCTCATTCATTGTGACAAATGTTGGCTAAGAATGATGGGAGTCAAACTGCTGTACATTTAAATAGGGTAGGGGTGAAGGAGAACTGCATGAAAGAATTTCATCTTGTCCTTAACAACTGTCAGGTGCACACAGCCTGAGCCACACTTGAATAGGCCCAAGTAGATATTTATCAGGTGGCTCAGTGGCTAAGACACTGAGCTTGTCAATCAGAAAGGTTGGCAGCTCGGCTGTTCCAATCCCTAGCACCATGTAACAAGTGAGCTCACGTTACTTGTCCCAGCTCATGCCAACCTAGCAGTTCGAAAGCATGTAAAAATGCAAATAGAAAAATAGGAACCATTTTTGGTGGGAGCATTCCGTGCACCTTTGGCATTTAGTCATGCCGGCCACGTGACAGAATGTGAGACGTCTTCGGACAGCGCTGGCTCTTCAACTTTGAAACGTAGATGAGCACCGCCCCCCCGCCCCCTGAGTCGGGAACGACTAGCACATATGTGCGAGGGGAACCTTTACCTTTACCTAGATATTGTACTTATTGTTGATCACCTGTACTACAAGAATTTCATCAGACCGTCTGCCTTCCCTTGACAAACAGGAAATATAGACCAAGTTGGACCTCAGATATTTCTACTTCCCAAATCAATTCCAAATTGGATTGTCTCTTTACTCCCCTTTCCTTCAGGCAGTGATTCTACCACAATACCCAGGTAAGCCACGCAGGTTACTGGGTGGTAAGATGGCTGGCTAATACATTTTATAAATAAATAAATAAATACCAATAGTTTGGGGAGCTTCAAAAAGCAAAATACTATCATCAGTTCCTTCTATTCCAGAGTATTCCCCCTCACCTCAGACTTCTGTCCCCATACTAGGTATGTAACACAAAGAATTATTGTCCTTCAGTGGAAGAAATAAGTCTGAAACCTTTAGATCTGGTCGGCATGGACAACTAATGGTCTGCACCAGATAACAATATTCCGTCTGTGTATGAGACCCTAATGAAAGTGTTGTTCTCTCAGATACGTTGTCTGCTCTGAAACCTGGTCTTTTTGTGATTATGAAATGCTACATTTGCCACCTCAAAGAGATTTCAAAGAGAGTTGCAACTGCATGGCAGACAACAGTTTTACCTGAAAAGTAACAGAAATGTCTACAAGATGAGATCAGTGAGCAAGAAACTGCAGAATTCCCAAAGCAAACTTGTCGAAAGATAATTTTACACAGGCCACGGAGAGACGCCTTTGATCAGGAAAAGCTCTTTTGTTCTCGGGCATGATCGTTTTAAGGACTGTTTTATATCCGAAACCCTATTGGGTATGCTTTATTATTTAAAAGAAGGATGAGGATTAAAACAATGGTAATTATGGGAGTCGTTCTTGGTTTAAATATTTCACACACATCTGTAGATGCAGCGATTTGACATACTGGCTTACATTTTTTGTTTTATTTTTGGTTCTGGGTGTGTTTGTCAAAGCTTGCAAAATATAGTTTCACTAAGTGGAGTTATCTGATTTAGACCCCTTAATATTAAATATTCAGAGATGGAGGGGATGGTTGTTCCATTTTAGCAATTTTGTTTCAGTGCTTTCACCGAACATGAGAGTCCTATAAAATTTTCTCATATTCATAGAATTCTCAAAGCAGAAGATTTTTTTTTTTAAAAAAAAAATCTCAACTATAGGTTTGCTCATAATTATGCCAGGACTCATCATCCTTATTTTATAGGAATAAAGTTTTGATAACAACTCCTTTGGAGATAAATCAGTGGAGAACCACTTAATGTAACATATCCCTGACATACGTTAATACTGATAGCCCATATTTTAATACATCACACGTACATTTAGTCTATTGCTTTAACTGTTATTTTATTTTGGAAATTTTTAAGCCGTTTGAAATAACGACTTTAATTTTAGTAAATTAATTACTTAGCATGTGTTGTGCAGTTTGATTGTAATTTATTCTCTCAATATGTCTAAACCAACTCAACATACTTTTTAATTTTGTATTCACTTCATGTACACTTATCCCACATTCAGCCTTGCCCCATTTTTTCTTGTTTCAGGTGCAACAAGCAGACAATTCCTACTTCATCCAGACTGCTTTTATATTTCCCTGGACATACCCAACTCTTACCTCCATGCAGTAATGTGGGCAGTGTGGGTTCCTATACTCCACCATTTTGGGGGGGGGGGTTCTTTCAACAAACATTCAGAATAATAGAATAACAGAAGAGACCTTGGAGGTTTTCTAGCC